AAGTAGTTGGACACAATACCTTTATTTTGTTTATTTTTATGTGGTACTGAGGATCGAACCCAGGGCCTCGCACGTGCTAGATGAGTGCTCTACCACTGAGCCACAATCCCAGCTCCACTATGCTACACCCTTAAGCTGTTTCTCAATCTGAGTTTCCCTCCTTTAAAAAAAAAAAAAAAGTATATGTATACACATATACATACAGCTACACAGAGACACACATTCATGTTTCTTGTAAAGGATAAAAATGAAACCCAGTGTAAGGTACTTGACACACACATTGCACAATATTGGTTCCTTTTTGTGGAAGGGAGTGGGTTACTGGGGATTGAACCCACAGCCTTGCACATGCTAAACAAGACTCTACCACTGAGTTATATTCCCAGCTACTTATTCCCTTTTTGTACTACAATTTATCTGTCTTAGCTTCAAACTTTGGGCAGAATTTTCACTTTTTTGTTTGTAGAAAGTAGGTATCCTTTCCTCTCATCTCTATTATAACTTCAGACTGAATATTTTTATGGAATCTTTATTAGTGCTTATGTGCTTATGTACTATGCTATGAAGGGCAAAAACTAATTTTACAGTCCCTGATTTCAAGCAACTTAAAGACTGGCTGGGAAAATAAGCATGGACATTTTAAAAATTAAATAATACTTTAGTACTTTGTCTCTTTCCAAATGCTTCTGAAATGGGTAAATAATGCTAAAAGCTATAATAGAGTAAATATTCCAAGGAAAATAAATGAATGACATGTACTTAAATGACACGTACTTCTTTCAGAAGAGACCCTGAAAGAAGGGTCATGAGACTGTTCCATCCCTTGTATTACACAGAAAGAGCTGATGAAGTTGATGGAGGTTAGAGAGGATTTGGAGTGGGAAGAAGTCTTAGAGGGATAAGGATAAGTACTTAGCTAGAAGGAAAGGGAAAGGGGGCATTTCATTGTAGAGTGGGACAGAATTTAACAAAGACGTTGAATGAAAGGTTTCTGAAGATAAAACAGTAGATGAAACATTGCAAACTACCTTGAATTCCAGGATAATTAGTGGTACATGAAATAAGAGTAGGAACATAGCTTAGGAATTTATTTTTGGTAGGTCTGTGGTACCTCACTGCTGCAGTCTGGCTGGGCACAAAATCACGAGCCACTCACAGCTTTGTAGATTCAAACAGCAATTCTTTATTCCCGAACTCACACCGGCCCTCTACAAACACGTTCTGGGGAAATCCAAGTTCTGCCGCCAAATTCACGTACTCCACCAGGCTCTAATCAGCAGGATAGCCTTATTCCTGGCAGGGTACACCTTAAACCTGGAACCGCCCTAAACCCAAGGAGCGGGATACTCCCTAAAACCTGATCCTCCCTAAACCCGGATCCGCCCTGGTCCTTGAGCAAGGTCACCTTACTCAAGCATACTTGCAATGTCACTGCAAATCCAAGGCAAGTCCATTTCCACGAGTCCYTCCTCTAAGCAACATGGGGTACGCTGGCAAGGAAATTTCGATGCGTCATTCCTACTTGGCAATGGCTCTCAGCACCTCACTCTGTTCGAAGAACTTATTTTAGAAGAATTAAGCTACGTTGGGTGTAAAACAGAAGAGAAGAGGTAGAGATTGACTCTTTGTCATCCCTATCACAGTCTTTGGCCAAGATGCTGCAGACCACCCCTAGCACTTGCCTTTTATCTCTTCTCTTTGTAGATGGCCGCCCTGCTCCCCCAATGAAAGGCCAACTTCGAAGAAAAACCCAGAGGGAAGAGTTTGCAGTGAGTGAATAGAGCTTCAACCGGGGCTACATTGTTTGTAATTGGAGGGAGAAATTATTATTTTTTTAGTTCTTTTTGGACATAATACCTTTGTTTTATTTAGTTTGATGCTAAGGATTGAACCCAGTGCCTCACACATGCTAGGCAAGCACTCTACCACTGAGCTACAACCCCAGCCCAGAAATTTTTGGTACCAGCGATCAAACCCAGTGTGCTTAACCACTGAGCCACATCCCCAGCCCTTTTTTATATTTTATTTAGAGACAGGGTCTGGCTGAGTTGCTAAATTCCTCAGCCTCCTGAATTGCTGGGATTACAGGAATGTACCATTGCGCCCAGCTCAGAAATTTTTAATTGTAATATGTTTTGGGTTGTGTTGCACCTAAACTAACATGTACATCATATACAAAAGTTTTGACAGTTATGTTTTTTGTTTTTGTTTTCGGAGATTGGGCATTGAACCCAGGGATGCTGTATTATTGAGCTCATTCCAGCCTTCTTATTATTTATTTTGAAACAGGGTCTCACTAAGTTGCTGAGGGCCTTACTAAATTGCTAAGGCTGGCCTTAAAATTGTGATCCTCCTGCCTCAGCCTCCCAGGTAGCTAAGATTTATAGATGTGCACATCAGATCAGCTGAGCCAAACAATTTTTTGTTGTTGTTTTTAGCTTTAGGTGGATACAGTATCTTTATTTATTTATTTATTTTTATGTGGTACTGAGGATCAAACCCAGTGCCTTATGCATGCTAGGCAAGCACTCTACCACTGAGCCACAACCCCAGCCCAAGCCAAACATTTTAATAGCACTGTAAGAAGGGAGGAATTGAGTTCCTAGGTCAGGAACCAGTAGTAAGCATTCTGCGTCCCATTCACTACCTCCCTTCCGTTTCCCATCCCAGCATTTGGTGCCACTTGTTCCCTAGTCAGCAGTGTCAATTTCCAGTTGAAACCTCTAACTTTGTGAGAAAAGGATATAAGGTGCAGTGCTCAAGCCCCAGATGTTATCCACACTGTTTTCCTGTCTGTTTCAGAGACGAGTTGTACTGCTGTCACAGGAAATGGATGCTGGAATACAGGCATGGCAGCTCAGACAGCAGAAGTTGCAGGAAGAAGAAAGGAAACAGAAAAATGCTCTTAAACGCAAAGGGGCTTCATTGCAGAGCTCACTTCCATGTCCATAAAAAGCAATTCCTGTCCCTTTCCTCAGCCTCTCTCTGGCTTTCTTTTCCATCACCTGGATGTCTCATCTCAAGACAGAAGAGAGCCTTTGTTTCCTATTTGTCTTCAGAGCAAAAGAGCTTGGACACCCAGAAGAACATGCTATAAGGTCACTGCCTGGGAGGCTTGGCTCAGTGCCCTCATCCCTGTTTTTATTCCAGTTCAACGGAATCTTGTTCTGGAAATTTGCAGGCCAGAGGACTGTACCAACCTTTTAGCAGTAGCTGTTCTGTGAATGTGAACAGAAGACAACAGTTTTCCTGGTTCTAACCAGGCATTTCAGTCTTTCAATAGCCCATACACAGCTTGGCCAAGTGCAGTTGGCATTTAATAAATGTTTTGATGAAAGACTTTCCACCTGAGGTCCCTTTCTTTGCAAGCAACTGGTGTCAGTTTTCCTAAGGTTCAGATGCATGGTACAGGAGGATTCCCCATCCCCACCCTCTGGGGAAGGGTGACAGGAAGAACCAAAAGTGGTCTTTTGTGTTCTGCAAAAGGAATTGAGTTCTGAGGTCTCCATGATTCTGACTGAATTCTAGAGGCTGGCTGAAGAGGGGCCTGTACCGCTCAACCCCTATACAAGGACTCAACCTCCAGTCACTATGGGATAGATATCCAGTATCTCTCACATTTCTCACACGCTACAAGCTGCCCAGGATCTGGGAATCCTTTCTTATTGATCATGACCCACCTATGGATTCTGGGGCCAAGGGGGTCTTTGTTCTAGTATAGCGCACTGGGCTTCCCATTTTTCTGCCCAAATTGTTGCTGCATCCCTTGGATTTTTGGAACTTCCTACCTGACCTAATTTCTGTCCCCCTACTCCTTTATTTCTTCCTTTGCTTTCTTTCCCTCCCTCCCTCCCCCCACTACCTCCTTCCTCATGCTGACCAGATGCAATTCTCAGATCTTAGATTTCGCTGATGGTCCAGTTTCTGTCTCCCACACTTTTCCTGCTTCTGTTGTACTGCATTGTGCTGCTTTTCCAGATCTAGTTCTCGGCCTCTTTTCCATCCCTTTCTTACCTTTGGCGTTAGCCTGTGCTCCCTCTTCCTTGCTCACTTCACATTTTGTTGAGTCCAGTCAATCCCTAAAGGAGATTATTTTTTTTTGGGGGGGGGGTGGTATTAGGGAATTCAACACTGAGGAGCTATATCCCCAGTGCCTTTTATTTTTTGAGACCGTCTCCCTAAGTTGCTGAGGCTGGACTTGAACTTGGAATACTCCTGCCTCAAACTCTGGAGTTGCTGGAATTACAGGTGTGCACCACTGGTGCCCCACTCCTAAGAGATTATTCTTTAAGGAATTCCCTCCTTTTCCAGGGTAGAGGGAGAACTAAACCCCCAAATCCAAACACCTTTTTTTTTCCAACAGTTTCACCAAACTTGACTTGCTTTTCCCCGGATTCCCTGGTTTTGCACCCCTTTCCTACTTAGCTCTAATTTAAGGAGCAGATTGTGAAAGACAATAATATAGGGAACCCATTAATTTTCTACAGGATGGACACCCTCTCCCAGCCTGTGCAGTTGTGGAGTTTGTTGTTGTTTGCACTGGGGGCAGGGGTGGGGTGGGGGAGACTGGGGACCAGAGGAGGCTGTTATCAGGTACTGCAAACAAACCTCTATTACTAAATGCTCCTTCTAACCTTTTTCACTGACATGGAAGATCACTCCCTGAGCTCTTAGTTGGCCCTAGCAACTCAGCCTCCCAGTATATCCCACTCGGAGGTGAGACAAATGCTGAATACCACAAAAAGCAAGCCACCGAAAATATGCTTAGGGGGAGAAAGTCTCCCACATCCCGTTCCCTGGGTACCCTACAACTCCCATGGATGTCATCTGTGGCCTCAACCCCTGCAGATGGCAGTCTGCACCACAGAAAGGCAACTTTGGGTTGGTTTCACCCCCTCCCGCCCTCCTCCAGCTCTTCACTGTAATTGGATTCAGGCTGAAACAACCACGTCCCCACCAGGAAAGGAGGGCATTGGGGCGGGGGCGGAGGAGAGGCTGCGAGAGAAGGGAGGGACCTAAGGAGAGAGCGGAGAGGGCTCCCAACCCAGTTCGCCTACTAAGCAGAAGAAAGATCAAAAAACGGGGAAGAGGAGAAGAGCAAACAGGCACTTTCAAGAACAATCCCCTCTTCTCCAAGCCGAGAGAGCTCTGGGAATCCAAATTCAGTGCCTACCGAAGACAAAGGCGCCCGGAGGGAGCGGCGGCACGACCCCAGGGCGTGGGCCCAGCCGCGGAGCCTGCACGGCCCGGCTGCCCCGACGTCTCGGACCATGTCTCCCGCCCCTCGACCCTCCTGCAGCCTCCTGCTCCCCTTGCTCACACTCGGCACCGCGCTCGCCTCCCTCGGCTCGGCCCAAAGCAGCAGCTTCAGCCCCGAAGTAAGTGAGCTCCTTCTGTTCTTCCCGGAGTCGCGCCCTCCAGGGAGTCGAGTCCGGGGGTGTCCAAGGGGACAGCCCCCACTCGGAAAGGAGGGATCTCGGCAGCTCCGGCCTGCAGGATCCCTCCCCCCTGCTTTTTCCTTCCCCATATCCAAACTTCCAAGTCGATCCAACTTTTGCCTGCCTCCAACCAACCCCACTTCGCCGCCACCGACTCTCTTTCCCATTCCTTCTTTTTCTTGGAAGAACTTTTCAGCGGAGCGAACCCCCCTCCCCAATTCCCCTGAGCTCTGCGCTCAGCTCAGTTGCGAGCCTGATAAACACTTGGACTCCGCTCAAACCCCGCGCTGTCCGGGTTCCTTGTCATGTGCGAATTTGTTGTTCAACTTTCCAGCGCTGTCGCGCTCGCGGGGAGGAGCGCTCTCCACCAATACATCTGCGGCCAGATGTGGTCGCGGGTGGACGTCCGAGTGTCCCCCCTGCCCATCAGCCTCCCCAAGTGGACCCCTCTGTGTCCGCGCCCGAGTCCTGGCGTCGAGGTTAGGAGCGCTAGCTCTCTGGCCGCTTTTCGTACACACAAAGGTCCCTTGTGGGGGGTGCGGGGGGGGGGGCTCAGCACAGCCACCATCCCCATCCCCGTCAGCGCCTTCAGGCCCTTTTTTGTTGTTAATTGTGTTTCTGCATCAATTGCAGGGAGACTGGGGGCGTCACACAGGGAGCGGGGAGAGGGCCTGGTCCAGGGCGCCCTCAGGCGTCTCGACTGACTCCAGCGCCCCCCACCCCCATCCTTACCCCTACCCTGCCCGTGGCCCACCGGGCCCTGGAGGAAGCCGCGTGGGAGTTGTCTGAGGAAGTTTTTCCTCTCTCTTTTATTTTGGGGTGAAGGTGGGAGACGGATTTAATCAGCTTCTTATTTTGGGTCATCCCAACCCACTCAGTCCGGCGAGGGCCTGGGTGCGGTCGGGAGGGGCCTGGAAGGGCCCAAGAAGGGGGATGGGATCTGGATTTGGTTTCCTGCGCCCGGGTCCCAGACCTTGTTCCACCCCCGAAGGAAACCTCTCCAGAAAGAAGAACACACTCCCTCTGTCCCTGAAGTGATCTGAGGTGAATGGGGAAAGCATGGCCCTAGGAATGGGACTATAGTGCTTATAGACGGAAGAAAGTAAAAATCTGCCTGGGATTGGAGGCGAAGCCTTATGGTCATGGACCCTTCATCTGAGCCTGAAAGGGAGAGCTAAAAGGAGCCTGGGCATCTGGGGGCTGCCCACTGCCAACTTCATAGCCCTGCCTTTTTTTCCCTCCCCTGCCCTGCTAGGCCCCCTAGGGGAGGGGCAGCAGCCCTGGCTCTGTTTTAAGTGGGTCATGAGGTGTCCCGGTGCCAGAACCACCGTTTGCTTCTGGGCCATGGAAGGATGGGAGGCTGAGGAAAGGAGGGGCAGTCCCAGAGATAGGGATCCCAGGCCTGTTACAGAGCCAGAGGTCCCTAACCCTCTCCAGAACTCCTATGTAGGAGATGTTCCCTTGACTTTCCCCCGGGGCAATACCTTGCTCCTCTCATTCATCAGAACAAAGTTGAGTTCTGTGAACCAACATTGTTGCTCCTTCAGGCCAGTCAGGAGGAAGAGCTGGGGTGGCCCAGGCCTCAGGCAGCTGGGTTCCTCCCACCAGGCCTCCAAAGCCCTGCACTAGCTCCAGGACAGCCCTCTCCTCCCCTTGGCCTGTCTGGCGCTCCGCCCTTCCCCCCATCCAGCCGCAGACACAAGAGTCCTCTCTTCTGTGGTTCCGACCTCATAGTCTCTGTGGTTCTTGCTTTGCTCAGATTCTGCCCTTGTGAGATGGAAGGAAGAAAATTGCCCAAGCCTTGGAGGAGGAAAGGGACAGGGCCTTGTGACTCTTTGAGTCAAGGGAAGTCCCTGTCTTGAATAAGCCTCCATTTTCCTTCATAGGGCTTGGGGTAGAAGCTATGGGTGTGAATAGTTAGACCTACCCACCTCTTTAAAAACAGTGGAGAGGGATTTATCCTAGAGTCTTGGGTGTGGATTCTCCCCACCTCTGCCTCTTTCCCATAAGAGCATCCCTCTCAGCTTGGCTCTCTGAGAAATGAGGGGACCTGCCTCATTCCTACTGACTTACAGCTCCAGGATTAGAACATCCCATTACAGGTGAGGCTAGGGGCAAAGGGAGTTTCCTGCATACTTGGGCACAGGCCACAGCAGGCCTCCTGAGGGCACTGGCTGTGGCATCAGCCTGCACAGGTCAGGGCAAGCCTACAGCTCCCAGAGAACAGCTCTAGACTGTAGCACCCTGCCTGGCTCCCCTCTGGTATACCAGAGGTTAAACTTCATTCCTTCCTGTACCCCTGAGGAGGGGCTCTCTGAGCCACATGGTACTAGAGTTGTTCTGCCAGGCCTGTTGGCTGGGGAAAAGCTGGGTCGTTTCTGTCTCAGGCCCTACCTCCTGTCAGCCTTGGGGATCACTTCCTGGAACTATGTTGCAATATTTGCCCCTGTGGGCTTAGGTCCCCAGTCAGCTGCTCCTGAATCACCCCCAGTCCCCCTGCCAGAGCATTGATCCACCACTAGGGCCTGGGCCTAGAAGGGAAGGGTTATGTGGAGATACAKCGGATGACCATGGATAGGGGATGCAGCACAAACAGCAGCCCTCACCCCTCTAAGTCCCCATCCTAGGCAACCTCCAGCCCTCTCTGGACTCCTTAAAAAGGCAAAGCTAGAGCAGGGACCAGAGCTGTCTGGATCTTGTCTCCCGTAAAAGAATCCAGGCATTTTCATATTCTATACATAACTTGGCTTGTTTTATTTTTCAGGCATTAGGAAAATACTTCATTGTTCTTACAATAAAGGCTGACTTTTTTCTCAGTGGGGCTTTGTAGTGTGTGTACCTTTCAATCAAACACCAAAAACCTAACTTTAATTCAAGGCAATTTTCCAGCCTTTATATTATGAACAATTCACAACATACCTGAAATAAAATACAGTCACCACTGTAAAATACTACATGCTACCCTCCCCCATCTCCCACTTCCTCCACTGAGAACCTTAAATGGGCCCTTAGTTACAAGCCCTAGGGCAGATGGTGTTTAGATAGGGATAGTGGTGGGATTGGACTTTTACTACTTCCAAAGACCCCAGCTTCCCCTCTCAGTAGCCATCCTTAGCTCTAGCTCCTTTTCTGCCCTTCTTTCTAAAAAGAGCTCAGCTGTGAGGGTCCTGGAGGCATGGTACCTCTGTCCCAAGAGAGCATCATGTGGAGCACAACAGTAAAGCCCCCTCAGCCTGACACCACCCCTCCTCCCATCGTGGATACAACCCACCCCTAGATGTGACATGTTGAATTTGCAAGAACACTGACACAGAGGAGAATAGTGCCATAAGGAATCACAGCTCTGAGAAGACACCCTAGAACTCTCTRCTAAATCTTAGAGCTCTCATTCTCAAGAGAACTACAGATAGTCTAGAGCTATGGCTCCCTAGCCATGTCTGTGCTCACAGCCCCAAGAGGACAAGCTATACTGGGGTGTAGATCAGAGTTTAGATCAGCCTATGAGTTTCTGCAGATGTGCTGCCAGAGCCAGGCTGGGAAACCATCCCCCTCTTCTGACCAAGCCAAGTACCTATGCCAGATAATGTCGGGAGGCAGATGTGCCCCCTGGGCCAGGTGGGAATGTTCCAAGCCACATCCCTCTCCCTACAGGCCTGGCTGCAGCAGTATGGCTACCTGCCTCCTGGGGACCTACGTACCCACACACAGCGCTCACCCCAGACAGTCTCAGCTGCCTTTGCTGCCATGCAGAAGTTCTATGGGTTGCAAGTGACAGGCAAGGCTGATGCAGATACCATGAAGTAAGTGCTTACCCTGGCAGGAATTCTGTCCCGTACCCACTGACACATTGAGCACCAGAGATGTTGCTACCTGAATGCCTAGCTCCTGACCCCATACCTCATCTCCACATAAAGGATTCTGACCCTCTCTATAACGTTGGCCTATCCCCACACATCCCCACACGGACACAGAGCCTCACCCAACACTGGTGCTAGGGCCAGAGGCAAGTATCCAGGACCTGCTGGAGAACTCCACCCTCCCCTCTGAAGACCTTTGTCTTTCATACACTGCACTGACCCCAATCCTCCCATTCCAGGGCCATGAGGCGCCCCCGCTGTGGTGTTCCAGACAAGTTTGGGGCTGAGATCAAGGCCAATGTTCGAAGGAAGCGCTACGCCATCCAGGGCCTCAAATGGCAGCATAATGAGATCACTTTCTGGTGAGTCCAACTGGCCAGGAACCTTTATCACATCTAATACCCTTCCCTGTCGTGTTCTATAGACTCAGAGACACTCCCCCTTCTCCCTTTTTTTCCTGGGGAGCAGGGAGGAAAATGGCTGTGATCCTGGAGAGAGGTGCAGCCATCAAGGGATACACCAGACAGCCAAAGTCTAAGGGGTCCCTAAGCCTTCAGTTCTCGGGGTTGAGGCATCATGCTGAAGCAGTAGGAAGAGGAGGTTGGGCAAATAAAACTAGCTGGGCAGTTCAGTCAGACCTGGGAGAATACAGGGAAGGAGAATTTTGCCCCTTGTTGTCCTAACACCTCCCCATTCTCTCCCTTCATGGACGGATCTCAGCATCCAGAATTACACCCCTAAGGTGGGTGAGTATGCCACATTCGAAGCCATTCGCAAGGCATTCCGTGTTTGGGAGAGTGCCACACCACTACGCTTTCGAGAAGTACCATATGCCTACATCCGGGAAGGCCACGAGAAGCAGGCTGACATCATGATCTTGTTTGCCGAGGGTTTCCATGGTGACAGCACACCCTTTGATGGTGAGGGCGGCTTCCTAGCCCATGCCTACTTCCCGGGCCCCAACATTGGAGGAGACACCCACTTTGATTCTGCTGAGCCCTGGACTGTGCGGAATGAGGATCTAAATGGTGAGTGAGGGAGCCTTGGGTCCTACTCCATGAAGTCACCAGTCACTTAAGGGGAAGTTGTCCTCCTACCAGAATCTCAGGGCTAAAAGGGACCACAAAGATCTGGTCTGACTTCTAACAAAAGCAGGAATCTGCCAGTCATGGTGGCACTGCCTGTAATCCCAGCAATCTGGGAGATTGAGGCAGGAGGATTGCAAGTTTGAGGCCAGCCTCAGCAATTTAGCAAGGCCCTAGGCAACTTAACAAGACTGTGTCTCAAAATAAAAAATAAAAAGGGCTGGGAATGTGGCTCAGTAATTAAGCACCTGTGGGTTCAGTCTCCTGTAGCAAAAAAAAGTAAAAGCAAGAATACTGTTTTGAAAAAAAAAAAAAAAAAAAGAATACTGTTTTGAGTTACTTACATTTGGTTCTTCGTCACCTCCTGACTTTCCAAAGGATTCAAAGCATCCTTCTCACCCACTTTTTCCAGGCAAACATCATGTCTAGCTCCTTGGAGAATCTGAGGCCTGCATAAGGCCTTAGGTTTCCAGGTGTTCCCAGAATTGGGTTCTTGCCCCAGAGCACTCTCACTCCACCCAGAGGAGGTTACTGACTTTGAGCCTTAAATACCAAACAGAAAATTGGACCTCAGGATTTGGTCATCTTGGGTGGAAAATATGCCTGGCAGGCTTGTGTGAGAAACTCTGGTAGGCAGGCAGTGAGCCTGAGGAAGCAAGGTAGGCTATCATCTTACCATGCCCACCCCTCCAGGGAACGATGTCTTCTTGGTGGCTGTGCACGAACTGGGCCATGCCCTAGGCCTCGAGCATTCCAATGACCCCTCGGCCATCATGGCACCTTTTTACCAATGGATGGACACAGAGAACTTTGTGCTGCCTGATGATGATCGCCGGGGCATCCAGCAACTTTATGGCAAGTAATCCACACCCACAACTGCTCCCTCTTCTCAACTCCTCGTCCCCTCCTAGCTTCTGCTCTGTGCGTTTCCCTCCCTATGCCCAGTGGTATCTGCACACACACATACCCCGCCTGATCTTGCCTCCGTCAGCTCTCACTTTTGAGAACACCCTCTCTGTTGCCTCCCAGCTGATTGCTTCAGCGTCCACTAGAGGGTGTGAGCCCCTCCACATCTTTCTAAGGATCCATCTACCCCTTTGTCTGTTCTTCCATCCCTTCCACTCCCAAGTCTGAAATGTCCCTCTTGTTCTCTCCCCCAGGGAGTGAGTCAGGGTCACCCACCAAGATGCCCCCTCAACCTAGATCTACCTCCCGGCCCTCTGTCCCTGATAAGCCCAAAAACCCAAACTATGGGCCCAACATCTGTGATGGGAACTTTGACACTGTGGCCATGCTCCGAGGGGAGATGTTTGTCTTCAAGGTGAGAAGAAGAAGAAATGGGCTGGTTCTGGGGACAAAAGGGTTCTATGGCAGGGAGACTGGGTTGAAACAGCAACAGGAAAAATGGAAATTAAAATCAAAGGACAAAGAGAGCAGTGGGGGAGCTTAGAAATTTGGAGACTGGGGAAGAGGATTAAGCTACAAGATATAATGTGTTCTTTGTGCCTTGTCTGGTTCCAGGAGCGCTGGTTCTGGCGGGTGAGGAATAACCAAGTAATGGATGGATACCCAATGCCCATTGGCCAATTCTGGAGGGGCCTGCCTGCATCAATTAACACTGCCTATGAGAGGAAAGATGGGAAATTTGTCTTCTTCAAAGGTAACCAGGTGCTGGTGCAGTGGAGCACACTTGTAATCCCAGCTACTCAGGAGGCTGAGACAGGAGGATTACAAGTTCAAGGACAGCCTAGGCAACTTAGTAAGATCTTGTCTCAAAAGAATAAAAAGGACTGGGGATATATATATATATATCTTAGTGGTAGAGTGACCCTGGTTCAATATCTAGTATCAAAAAAAAAAAAAGTAACCAGGATTCTACCTTAGTCTCTCTTGAGGAGCTGATTCCACTTGACTCCTCCAAATGCCCCAGAGCCCAAGTTAAACCCGGATTTTGCCCTTCTTGGTCCTCCCCAGGAGACAAACATTGGGTATTTGATGAGGCTTCCCTGGAACCTGGCTACCCCAAACACATTAAGGAGTTGGGCCGAGGACTGCCTACTGACAGAATCGATGCTGCTCTATTCTGGATGCCCAATGGAAAGACCTACTTCTTCAGGGGAAACAAGTAAGACCTCTACCCCTTAACCCCAGGGGTCACTACTGCCACCCCCAAATCCCATCTTCAAATGCTGGAAGGACCCATCTTCTGCCAAGATGTTTCTTTCCCTAATGAAGTTGCTGAATGAGCCTCCACTGTTGCCTAGCAATGAGCAGCCTCTGTTGGGTGCCTTGTGAGTGGGATGTGACCGGGTCACCATTTCAAACCTGGTCATTTGACGCCTCCTGCCCCCGGCACTGTGCCTCTGCCCTAGCAGCCAGGCACTGTCATTAAGGGCTGCTGGTGGCTTCTTGCAGCCCGGGCCCTCCCTTCTACCTCCTCCTTCCGCCACTTTCAGCTGCAGGCTCTCATTACTCAAAAACCCCCGTCCCCCCACCCTGTCCACAGCTACTCTTTGTCTACTGTTGCATTCTGTCCTGGTTCCTGGTACACTCAAAGGACATGCCGTGTCCAACCACTTCCCTTCTCCTCCCCCAGGTACTACCGTTTCAATGAGGAGTTCAGGGCAGTGGACAGCGAGTATCCCAAAAATATCAAAGTCTGGGAAGGAATCCCTGAGTCTCCCAGAGGGTCATTCATGGGCAGTGATGAAGGTGAGTGGGACAAAGAAAGGTGTCCATGAGGGGAGGGTGGGAATAGAGAGATAAGGAAAACAGAACATAGGGAAAACAAGGTGGATGGTAAGTCCCTTACCATGTGCCAGGGACTGGGCCAGGTGCATTCATGGTCGTATCCCATGAGCCCTGCCCCTCTCCCAACCTGGTTCTATCATTGCCTCCATTTTATAGCTGAGGAAACTGATGCTCGGAAAGGTGCAGGTGAGCTCAGCTGATGTCACACTAACAACTTCCTTCTGTTCTTCTCCTTTGGGACCTTTTCACCCTGCCCTGTCTCTTGTCCTCCTTCCTGTTGACCCCTGCAGTCTTCACTTACTTCTACAAAGGGAACAAATACTGGAAATTCAACAACCAGAAGCTGAAGGTAGAGCCAGGCTATCCCAAGTCGGCCCTACGGGACTGGATGGGCTGCCCATCAGGGGGCAGCCGACCTGACGAGGGGACTGAGGAAGAGACAGAGGTGATCATCATCGAGGTGGACGAGGAGGGCAGCGGGGCTGTGAGCGCAGCTGCCGTAGTGCTGCCTGTGCTGCTGCTGCTCCTGGTGCTGGCAGTGGGCCTCGCCGTCTTCTTCTTCAGACGCCATGGGACTCCCAAGCGACTGCTTTACTGCCAGCGCTCCCTGCTGGACAAGGTCTGACCCCCACCGCCGGCCCACCCACTCCTACCACAAGAACTTCGCCTCTGATGGCCAGTGGCAGCAGGTGGTGGTGGGTGGGCTGCTCCCACCCGTCCTGAGCCCCCTTCCTCCAGCCTCCCTTCTCTCTGTCCCTGACTGGCCTCTCCCACCCTCACCCCTGGCATTGCTTCTTCCCCAGATGGGGGCCCCTGAGGCCTGAGCAGGAGGGTGGTCCCTTCTAGCCTCTGATCCTCAGGGGAACCCTGTAGCTTGGTGTGTGTTCGGCCCCTTATGAATGTCATGGGGGCTCTGCACTTGAAGGCAGGACCCTCAGTCCTCACTGGCAAAGGTCAGATGAGGTCATCTGCTCCTTTTCCATCCCCTGACATACCTTAAACCTCTGAACTCTGACCTCAGGAGGCTCTGGGCACTCCAGCCCCACAAGCCCCAGGTGTACCCATTTGGCAGCCTCCCACCACTCTTTGGCTAAAAAGGAATCTAATCGTGTTGTGGGGCAGAGGCCCTGAGAAAGTGTGAGAGGGTGGGGATTGCTCTGCCACCTAAGACCTCAGGAGGAGAACTCAGAGAGGGTCTTAGTGGCTTGGTCAGTTGAGTTCCTCCCCACAAAGATCTGCCTCTGCCCCACTTACCCCGGAGAATTTCCAAAGAAATAGCCTGAGCCATTAAGGACTAAACTGGGGCTGAAGAAACCCTTGGCAGCCCTAACCCCTCTTGAATGTTAGCCTTGAATGGGGATTTCAAGGTTGGAAGAGCTGAAACCAGGAGGTAAAGCCCAAGTTGGAATGGGGCCAAGGGGAGACACCCAGGGCTCCAGACCTGAAGATCCTGAAGGCCACAGAAGAACCTTGTTCAAATACAGGCAGCTGGGGCTGGGACCCAAGGGCCAGAGTCAGAGGGGACAGGAAATGAAGAGTGGCAGCAGTAGAGGTTGGGGGCTGGGTGGCCACAGGGGCACCACAAGTTGGGTGGTGGTACCCAGGGGAAGGCACATTTTATTGGAGCTCTCAGGAAAGTCCTGAGGAAGGCACACTGGCTCCTCTTTGTCCCCTTCCTCTGGGCAAGAAGCCCAGAGAAAGGAACAAAAAGGGCACTGGGGACTTGGAGGACTTATGGAGAGAGGCCACCTGTTTGTGGGACCAGAGGAGGTTCCCTGAGGCCTGGCAACACTCAGTCTGCCTTTCACCTCAGTGAAGAGCAGGTGCCTGGGTGCTGCTCAGTGGGGTTAGCCCCTCACCTCCCTGACACCCGCACTCCTCGGCCCATATTATCGGTGTCCAGTCCTCCTTCTCATACCCAGCCCACCCATTTTAAGTCTCCTTCAGCCACTGAAGGTAGTCATGGTACTGGGGACTTGGGAGAGAAACACCCTGTGGAGGGAGCTAGAGGAGAGGGATGTCAGGGAGGTGAGGGATGGGGGTAGGGGAAATGGGGTGAACGGTGCTGGCAGTTCGGCTAAATTTCTGTCTTGTTTGTTTGTTTTTTTGTTTAATGTATATTTTTATTATAATTATTATATATGAACTTCATTCAAATTGTTCCTTTTTGTTAACAAGGGGCAGGGGGGTAGGGTGGGGGAGGGGGGCAGAGGCATCTGACCCCAGGAACCTGCAGGGCGGGGCTGGGTCAGTGCCCTCTAAGGACATTTTTGACCTTGTTCAACCTTTCCACAAAGAATAAACTGTGTTTCACATTCTCTGTGTGACTGCAGTTCTGTATAGGGGTGAGCGGGATGTGGATGGCGGGCTGGAAAGGAGAGCAGGTGTCTTGAGCAGCACTTTCCCTGAAATAAGAGTTCTGGTAATTTTTCATAAAAGAATGTTTATTCTTAGCAAACTAATGGGATTCAAGGGCCAGAGTTGGGGAGCAGGGCACACCCCACTGGGGAAGGGTTGCTCTCCCCCAACCTGCCTTAAAAGACTAGTTTTGAGACTGAAGGCTGCCAAAGATAAGAGGAAGTGATCAAGCTGAGGCCACTTGGAAAATCTTCCTAAATTGCATGACCATGTCGTGTGATCTGGCCACAGACCTCAGTTTCCTCATGCCTCTGCCTGCAGCGGGGGTATTCCCATGATCCTATTCAGCCCCAGGCTCAGTGAAGGCCCTCAGGAGCCAAAGTTTTTTCTGAGCCTGGGCCTCTGCTGCTGGGACTGAAGGAACCGAAAGAGAAAGAGGTTGCCCCAAGACCTATTGGGARCAGCCTGCCTCTGGAAAAACTGACCTCCCCTCAATTGCCCAGGAGAGCCGGGATGGTCAGGTTGGAAGGGCAGAATAACAAGGCTTTGTTTCCTCTTTCCTTAGAAACTGCTACCCTAGACTGGGTTCCCAGGCTGTCTACCCGCCCTTCCTCCGAATCCAGCCTGAAGGGAGGAATCAGCCCAGTTGCTGAGTCAGCTCAGCTGGAAGAGAGCAGCCCCCTTCCCTCACCCGCCTTCCCTTCCTGCCTCAGCCCAGCCCACCGGGCTCCAGCCCAGGCCCCCTCCACACCCTGCCTCGAAGAACCTTGGCCCCACCTACTCTACTCCTTCATCCAGCTGCTATTCAAGGCTCCTTGGTGTGATTGCTTTGGCAGAAGGGGTACCCCACCTTCCTGTCAGGAACCCTGACCCTGTGCCTGGCCTCCTGCTCCTCCCCTGCCAACAGCTGTTTGGCAGTCCTCTATGTCTCAGTGGTGCTGGACACCTCCTCCCCACCATCCTCACTGGAGGGGATGGGGACCACAGGAATGCAGCATGGGCAAGTCAGGGGCATCTAGGGGTGGTGGGGTTCGTGCATGTGGCAAGGAACTCAAAGATGAGCTCATGGCCCTTTTTGTTTTTGTGGTCCACATCTGGAGGTAATTACAGATGTTATCCAGTGGGAGTTCTGCAAAACAGCTGGAGCCAGTGAAGGAGCTGGGGGAAGGGAGACTGCCAGAGGGAAGAAGAGGGGGAGCCTAGGGCTCCCGCGGCTGGAGTGTGGTTTCCCCATCACGAGGAAATTGTTTGGCCGTGATTCTGGAATCACAAGATGCTCTCTGAAGCCAAGGGGGAAAGATGGGAATGGAGGACCACAGACAAAGAGGAAGGCTTCACGAGCAGATAGCGGGTGGAGGCTCCAGGGTCCCGTGCCTCTGACGTGCTTGGGCCTGCCTGACCCACCCCTGTGAGGCTGCCCAGTGACCCAGGGAGGTGTCTAAGTGATCACGAGGCCCCAATTGAGTGAACCACTGGGTTAGGCAGGAATGAGGGGAGGCAGAAGGCCCTGTGGCTCCCAAGGACCTGCAAACTCTGCTTTCGCTGGCTGATCTGTCCATTGGGCCTGACCCAGTTTCTGTGGTTCCAAGTTCCTTTATTCGAAAGCAGCACATGTGAGTTGGAGCAGCCAGGAGGGAGCCAAGGGGAATCTGCAAAGAGTTTGGGAAGAACCCAGGGAAACAGGTCTAAAGGAGATGCTGGACTGGGGATGAGGGTCAAGGAGGGTAGTACTCTCCCTACTGCTGTGCCCCACACATTTGAAGGGTGCCATGAACTCCCTTGCCACCACCTCCCCTTCTCCAAGGCTCCTGCTCACCAGCTGGGCCCATGCCTCCAAGGCTGCCAGCCAGTCGCTGGGTCAGTGGGGCTGGGAAGGAAAGATCTATGAGGGCCACACCCTCTGGAGAAGAGAGGACTGGGCAAAGGGATGTCCCCACCCGCTTACAATCTGGTTAGCCTGCTGGTCCTCTGTTGTTCTCTCCCAGGACCCCCCCTCTTCAATCTGACAGGCCTGCCAGTCCTCTCTATCCCCCCTGCCTTCCATTTCCAACAAAGGGGAAGCTAGCATTCACTGAGATCCTCACAACATGCAGTGATGCGGAAAGAAACTGAGGCTCAGAAAGATTAATCACTTGCTAAGGTCACAGCTTACTCATCCAAATTTTAAAACCTTATCTGACTTTTCTTCTTCTTTCTCCTGTGCAAGCAAATTCTGACAATGTCTCTTTGGTGTCTCTTCCAGTGTAGACCCTAGGTAGATAGGTGTCTTCATGGCAGTGCGTTCTGGGGAATCTGTCAGCATGTGCGGTTCTGCTTATTATGTTCTGTAGCAGCTTCCGTATAGAAGGTAGGCATGCAGGGTAGAAGGGTTCTTCCTCAGGAACTCCATCACCTCCCTTCTCAGGAACAGGAGCAGGCACTCTGAGAGAAAGAAGGGTGCACCAAGACTCTGAGGAAGACCATGATAGCAGCTAGGGGAAAGGTGGGGTGGTAGATGACTATACTCAAGGGCCTGGGGGAAGCAAGGCCATCAGGGGCTGAGTTCATTCACTTTCTGCAACATTAGCCCATTCCTGGGGGTTACTGCCTTTCTCCCTCAGACAGGCTTGGGAGACTGGGGAGACCTAGAGGCAGCCTGTGAGGGGCCTAGGCAGCCAGGGCCTGGAAGGCTGACTGGCCAGAAGCCACCTTCCAAATGAGCTCACACACATACTTTCCACTCTGGCCCAGCGCCGATGGCTCAGCTCCTTCCAGGCCAGCCTTCCCCAGCCAGGCCCAGCCCCCTGTGTCCTCCCCTGCCATCAGTCCTGGCCCCAAGGGTTCCACAGTGGGATCACTGGACACCCCAGATCAGGGCTGTCATCATATCCCCAGGAAGCAGCTTCCTCTGCCTCCATGCTGAAGCCAGCTCCCCTCAAAATCCCTCATTCCTCAACCACGTAGCCCTCATGGTTTAGAGGAAAAAGAGACCAGTCCTCTGCCCCCAAAGACCACCCCTGTGTAGAGAAGGATAGTAGAGCAGACAGAAGAGGAGGTGACACTGCAGTGAATGGGCGGAAGGGCTTCCTTTGAGTGCCTAAAGTAGCTCCTTGACTCAGGGGCCAGCCTGGCCTGGGAGCTACCTCGCTGTGGGTCACATCCTGCTTGCTCACTTGATTTCTCACTTAGGCGCACTTCCCTGACTTGGGGCAGCATGGGATTTGGGTCGGGCAAGGCCAGGATGCCCACAAAGGGAGTGGAAGTCAGCCTCTTAAAGGCCTAGCAGATTCACATCTGCCACAGGCTCTAGTTACTTTGATTTGTTCTGTGGTCAGAGTCACCCTTCTTTAGCCAGCTCCCAGAGATATGTATGTATCACTGGGCTAGAGAACAAGATCAATTCTCAGAATGTTCTCTTTCTCTGTTCAGTGCCTGACTTTGGGCTAGAAGCATGGCTGCCCTGACAATATTTCCTGACTCCAATAATGTATCTGAGGGTCTGTGGTTGAGTATATTCAGACATGGCAGACAATTCTATCTGCTTTAGATCCCAAAATGATGGCCCCTAGGATCAGATCATACAGCTGTTGCTTTCCTTTACCAGACACTGATAGTGTAGTTCTGTCAAGGAACTTCTACTGTTCATAATACTGACCCCATCACAGCCACTGATAAACATGTTCTGCCCTCACTTTTCTTACAAAAGAGTAAGATAGTGCTAGGCACACTGAAGGCACTGGATAAAGGTTTGTTAAATTGAATTGTCAGCAGTAGTTGTAATTATGTAAGTATTTTAAACATACCTACATAAGTATTGTGTATATACAAGTACTGAATATGTAAGCTGAAAAATCAGAGATATATATTTATTCTTCATGGACTTTGTAAACTGTATATCTCACCTTGATCTTTAAAAAAAWTTTTTTTATTTAGTTGTAGATGAACACACAGTATCTTTATTTTTATGTAGTGCTGAGGATTGAACCCAGTGCCTCACACATGCAAGGCAAGCACTTTACCACTGAGCTACAGCTTCAGCCCCTAAAATGTTTTTTTTTTTTAACATTTTTAGTTTTGGATGGACATGATACCTTTATTTTGTTTATTTAGTTTTTATTTTATGTGGTGCTGGGGATTGAACCCCGTGCCTCATGCATGCTAGGCAAGCACTCTACCACTGAGCCACAACCCCAGCCCCCTAAAATGTTTGTAAAAGGAAGAAAAGATTGGGCATGATGCATACACCGGTAATCACAGCTACCCCAGAGGCTGAGGCAGAAAGATCAACAAAAGTTCTAGGACAGCCAGGTGTTGTAGGGCATACCTATAATACCAGCAACTTGGGAGGCTGGGGCAAGAGGATCTGAGGTTCAGGAGTTCAAGGTCAGTTTCAGCAATTTAGTGAGACCTTAAGCAACTCAGTGAAATCCTGTCCCAAAATAAAATATAAAAAAGGACTGGGGATGTGGCTCAGTGATTAAGCACCCCTGGTTTCAATACCAGTACAAAAAAAAAAAAAAAAAAAAAAAAGTTCAAGAGCAGCCTGGAAAACTTAAAGTAGAATAAAAAATCAAATAAAAAAGGGCTGGGGATGTAGTTCAGTGCAAGAGCACTTACCTAGTATGTGTGAGGCCCTGGGTTCAATCCCTGGCACTGCAAAAAAGGAAGGAAGGAAGAATATACTGATGTAAAGAGATTCATACCTCCTACTTTGTCCCTACACGGCCTACCACTTACACCTACAGCCTGTCCTTAACCTGGGAGTGATTAATTTCCAGCTGTGATGACCCAACTCTTCCAGAAATATCAAGCCTTCAGGTTGCACCCCAGCCCAGCCTG